AGAAAAAAAATTGCAGTTGTGAAGGTCCTACAGTTCTTCTACTCTTCAGTCTGGCTCGCCTTAGTCCTGCCAGGTATTCAGGAGAGTGTTGAATTTCCCTGTGATACACTGTTCCTCCATGTTGTAAACCACACTCCTGATTTTAAAGCAGGCTGTATTTGTGTCCCAGATTACCTTAATTTGTATTTACCTAAGAGTCAGTTTGTGGCTCATCTTCTGGGTGGCAGTGTTTTTGGGTTGGCCCCTGAGGCTATACGGCTTGTCTACCCAGTAGCAAGGGTTTATTTTCTCTATTGCACTTAAAACTGGTTTGGGGAGGTCAACTACCCAGAGCTGGTTCTTTAATCGTTACCCTGCTGTGTGTTGTTACTGGGACTCTATTTTATATATTTAAATGCCATTTAACAAAGAAAAATCAACCAAAAAATGAGTTCACGTATTACCTCTGACACGCGTGTTATAGGTTCGCCATCACTGACCTAGGGTAATATTTCCAGGTCCACCCATGCTGTCCCAAGGGGTAAGAGATCCCTTTTTTTTTTTTTTTTTTTTTTTTTTTTAAAAAGTTTTTTTTAAAACCTGGCACAGGAAAGCAGTGACATTCTACATGAGCCAAAATAGCCAGTCTTTCTCTGCAAATACAGTAGGAGCAATTTAATTCCATGAAGAATAAACTAATTCAACAAACTTTCATTAATTATGTGTCAACTTCCAGCATATGCTGGAAATAAAATACAAGGTGTCCCAAAATGTATACACACACTTTGAATAATTATAAAGGCAGCATTCATTCCACCTCCTGCCCCTGATCTGATTCCTGTCTCTGCCCCTTACCTGTTCCCTGGACATTGGGGTCTCACAATACATAGGGTTGCATATATTCTTTCTGATTGGTGTTTTGAGGTTCTTAGAATATATTCCCAGAAGTGGGATCACTGGGTCAAATGGCAGTTGTATTTTTAATTTTTTGAGGAAACTATATTGTTTTCCATTGTGGCTGCACCAGTCTGCATTCCCACCAGCAGTGTACTAGGGTTCCCTTTTCTCCACATCCTAGTTTTCTGTGGATGTTATTTTCTTGAAGAAATCATTTTCTACCCTTTCACTTTAAGTCTAACTTTGTGTTTGCAGCTTTGATGTGTCTCCTGAAGGCAGCATATGGTTGAGTTTTGTTTTTTGAGCCAATCTGCTACTCTATGCTTCTTTTTTGGTGAATTCACTCCATTTACATTAGGGTAATTACTGATGTGTGAGGATTTCCTTTAGCCATTCAGTCTTTTGCTTCCTGGTAGCTCTGTGCCTCCATCAGTTCCTTTCCTTTACGTTTCTGTTGTTTTTGTTTGGTGGTATTCCATAATTCTTCCCTCTGTTTTCTACTTAAGATATTTGTCTCAATTTGGATGTTGTGTGTGTGTGTGTGTGTGTGTGTGTTTACCATTAGTTTTATGAAAAAGAAAGTTTCATTATATACAGTAGTTCTTTTTCTTTTGAATGCATCTGACCTCTGTCCTTCTTTTTAAATTCATTCCTTACTCCCACCCCTTTTATGTTTTTGCTGTCACAAATTATCCCTGTTTATTCTGTAAGCTCCTATATGCCCTCTACCAGGAATTGAGCCTTCAATCCAGTATGTACCCTTGACTGGGAATCAAACCAGCAACCATTTGGTGCATGGCATGATGCCCAACCAGCTGAGCCACACCAGGTAGGGCAGAATATATTATTCTTGGCTGGTAATTTCTTTTTTTCATTGTTTGAATATTTGGTTCCACTCTCTTCTGGCTTGTGGAGTTTCTGCTGAGAAGCCTGATGATAACCCAATGGGCTTTCCATTTTGAGTTCCTTTCTTTTCCTTGGCTGCCTTTAGAATTCTTTGTCATTGATTTTTGACAGTTTTAATAATATGTGCCTTGGAGAAGGCCTCTTTGGATTGAGGTGAGTAGGTGTTCTGTTTGCTTCTTGGCTTTGAGGATTTGACTCTTTCCATAGGTTTGGGAAACTGTCATCAACTATTTGTTTGAATAGGTTCTCTGTTCCCTTGTCCATTTGGAATCATTCTTGGAACATGGTATTGAACATAAGTAATTCTTTAATGAATGAATGAATCCCTTAACATTAGATTTTTCAAATAAATTATTCAGCAGTTGGCTAAAATAAAAACTATGGAGACATTTAATAATCCTATATAATAAAAGCCCAGGAACAATAACAGCTTAACGACCAGAATGACTGCTTGACCAGTTGCTATGAGGTACATTGACCAGCTCTCAGTCCCTTCCCCTCCCATGCCCTGGCCTGCAGGCTCTGATCACAGGATGGCGAGTGGGGAACCACAGGGATCCCGGGTGGGTGGCGGTATGGCTGGACTGGGGACTGGCGAGCAGGCGGGATGGCAGACCTCTTGGTCCCACCCTTTGTTCTGCAGGCTCTGATTGTAGGATGGCGAGTGGGGAACCACAGGGATCCTGGGTGGGTGGCGGTATGGCTGGACTAGGGACTGGCGAGCGGGCGGGATGGCAGACCTCTTGGTCCCACCCTTTGTTCTGCAGGCTCTGATTGTAGGATGGCGAGTGGGGAACCACAGGGATCCTGGGTGGGTGGCGGTATGGCTGGACTAGGGACTGGCGAGCGGGCGGGATGGCAGACCTCTTGGTCCCACCCTTTGTTCTGCAGGCTCTGATCACAGGATGGCGAACGGGAAACCACAGGGAACTGGGATGGGTGGCGGTGGGGCGGGAGTAGGGATTGGCAAGCAGGCAGAAGAGGGTCCTGATGGCAGGCTAGGCCTAGGGATCCTACCCATGCATGATTTCATGCGCTGGGCCTCTAGTATAAAATACACATCTACATGTCTCAAAATTAAGTTAAATTAGTTTATATTTTTGTTTGTTTTTTTCAAACTTTCATATTTGCAGGCAGTGTTTGTTAGATGCACAATATTTTAAAAATCAGCTCTTAGCTTTTACTATTCACCTTATTTTTAAATGGTAATTATTGTTCAGGAAATAATTCACTAAAAGGCAAGAATTAGGATAGCAAGTTTAGGGATCAGAAAATGTTGATTCATTAAAAATGTTATCTTGATTCATCACTTTTTGCTTAACATTTATTTATTAATTCTAATTAAAATCATCAACCCTTTATACTAGTTAGAACTAAAGAAGAACATCTGAATCGAAGAGTGAGAGAACCTGGGAACCTGAGGCCTCACTGAGACTCCCAGAGGTCATTATCTCTGTGTGACAAATCCACGGTTGCTTCTGATGGCTTCTTGAAGTGCTTCCTCCAGTCTTTCCATTGTAGAATATCTAGGAAGGTCCAGAATACTATGACACACGAGTGCTCTTGGGTAATCTCTTTCACTGAAAGTTTCAGGACAGCGAAATCTGATTCTCATTTCTTGTAATCCTCTTGCAGTCTGCCTATCATTTCCTGTAAGAAAAACTGTAAAGGAATCTTTGGTTAAGATATACCTTAGTGCCTGGCCCGCGTGGCTCAGTGGTTGATCATCGACCTGCGAACCAGGATGTCATGGTTTGATTCCTGTTTAAACACATGCCTGGTTTGCGGGTTTGATCCCCAGTGTGGGGAGTGCACGAGGCAGCCGATCAATAATTCTCTCTCATCATTGATGTTTCTATCTCTCCCTTCCTCTCTGAAATCAGTAAATACATATTTTTAAAAAAGATATTCCTTAGGAAGAACAAAATTTAAAATGAAAGAAATTAATCACTGAATTCGGTAAATATTTATTAAATACTCTTGTGTGGAGAAAACTACCTGGGACTATGGGGAGCATAGAAAAATCATGACATTTGGTCTTTGTCCTCAGTAAGTTCATGGTCTAGTTGGGGGGAAATTACATAAGGTTGATCCTTGAACAGCGTGGGTTTAAACTATGTGGGTCTACTTACATGAGGATACTTTTCAAAAATACTGTAAATGGATTTTCCTGACGATTTTCTTAACATTTTCTTGTCTCTAGCTTACTTTATTATAAGAATACAGTATAATATATATATGCATATCTATATAGAAAATATGTGTTAGTAGATTGTTTATGTTATCAGTAAGGCTTCTGGTCAACAGTAGGCTATTAGTAGTTAAGTTTGGAGGGAGTCAAAAGTTATACAGAGACTTTCCATTGTGTGTGTGTGGCCTGGGATCAGTGCCCCTAACCCCCAGGTTGCTCAGGGGCCAACAGCACATGAAAAGATAATAGCAAGGTACAGGGAGGTTTATTTTAGCACAACCAAGAAGTATGAGGTGAAAAGCCTGATGAAAGCCCTAAGACTGAGGACAGGGAGAGAAGCGCTGG